CAGTACATGGTAACAGACACATTAGTGATCCAGATGCACACACTGCAACCAAACACAGAAGTCTGAATCTCCTCTGGTTGTGGTCCATCTGCCATATTATGATTCTCTGATTAATCTTTAATGGATTCTGACTTTAAAATCCTAGCTGCTCATATTTTTTTTTACATATATTGAATGAATTTAGAATACCTTCTTAGGGAATGATGAGCAGTAGTCATGGACTCACCCTATGAGATCTTCTTCAGACGCCATGATTTTACTTTTCCCCAAGGGCTAAATTCCTTTCTCTCTTAGCCTGTATCCTGACAATACATCTCCCTTTTTTCTGTTCCTGTCCTTTTTCCTCCGATTTTCCTACAAGTTGTCTAAGAGCTGAGGAATTTTTTTCAGCAGCTGGTATTTTTAATACAGGGAAGGTACAATCTACAGTGCAGGCTGTGGGAAATCATACCCTGTCCTCTGAGCCTTCGCACAGAAAACATGTCAATGGTAATTTAGGTGAAGTGAGATTCTTCTCTAACCTTTTCACATGAGTATCTGGGAATGTAATACCTCATCAGCATGTGAAGCAGTTTTTCCTGAATACAGAACCACATAATCATGCAGTGGTAAGGGATCTCTGGAGGTCATTTAGTCCAACAAAATCAGCCTTACTGACAACTGTGAAATTTAAACTGGGCTTTGAATCATGAGACTTGCAGGGTTTACCACCTTAGGAATTTAAATCAAAATAGAAGCTTACAAGAATTCCCTTTATTCATAGGCAGAAAAGCTCCTCAGGAAATTGGCACTACAATCACATTTCATTAGCATTTAAAAGTGATATTCTGCCTCTTGCCCAACAACCATTAAATGAAGATGTCCAGAATCAGTAGACTGGTGCCATATAGGCCATCTTTGTCTCACTTCTTTTCCAGTTTTGCCTTGCTTGGTTCTGTAGTGGACAGATGCTGTCGAATATATGAATTTATATTTACAACATAAATAGAAAAGCCAACTATTTCCATTGCACTGTGTAATCACAGGAAAGCCTCCAAAGCTTGCTTTCTCAAGAGGTAGAAATAGCTCCATGATAAAAAGCAACTGACTTTCTTGAAGCATTCTTATTTGAAAAAGTAGCAGATGATAGAGGCATTGCACACAATGTTACCTAATCACATTCATTAGTGAAGCTTATTTATACTGTCTCCATTTTGGAGAAGACAGAAGGGGTGGTGACACTGGAACATCTGATTAAAGGCTGGTTTGTCCACTGCCCTGTAATTCTTTATCTGTATTTTCCTTCTCATTTCCTTTCATATCTCTATTTTCCTTTGAAAACAACACGTTCATGTTGGAGATTTCAAACAGTTCTGATCGGTGATAAAAAAAATAAATGCCCACAACAAGTAAACAGAGGGTGGGTGTGAAGGAATTTGGGTAAATACAAACCCCAGAAGAATAAAAACTGCAGTCAAGTAATTTGTTTCCCCGCTGGGCCTCATCAGGCCAAGAGCTCCTTACTTAACCACAGGCTGCATTTTTCAGGTCTGTAACAAACTACTCAGGACTGTCTTTCGCTGAACAAGAACATGAACCTGTTTGTAGGTTTTGCAGTCAATACATTGATCTCCACCTAAATTTCATGCCACTTTTTTACCTCCCACGTGCCTGGTACTGGTGAGCA